GCGGGGGGGTTGTCGGGGGTTGCATTGGTGAGGGGGTAGAAGGTTGGGGGTGTGTGGGGCGCGATGGGGGGAAGGAATTGGGTTGATGCAGGGCTGGGGTCTTAGATGGTTCGGAGGAGGGTGAGTAATGATGGGGTGGATTGGGACTGGTTGTGTGTGGGGGTGGGGGGGTTGTGTGGAGGCTTTATGTTTGTGTTATGGATAGCCAATTTTTTAGAATTAGTCTGTCGTTGTTAATTATGCCAAGTAGCCCATTGCCTAGTTTGGAGATGAAGAATTTTTGGATTAATAGATTCTTTTTGTCCGGGTCAGTTGGGAGGTTCTTGAGTTGTTTTTTCCATAGGGCGTGAATTTCGGTGTCTATTAGTTGTCTGATAATGATTAGTGGGTTTTCGGGGGGGGTGAGTCTGTCGTCGTAGGTGATTGCACATCTGTTTTTCCATATGGCCCATAGGGTGTTTTTCTTGATTTGGGAGGCGAGGAAGGCTTCGAATCCTTTTAGTGGGGGTGATTGGTTGAGGTTGAGGAATAGTGTGGCGGGGTTAATTAGTAGGGGAGAGTCCGAGATTTTTAACCACGATGATTCTTGGGCTTTCCAGAGGGATCTTGCCTTTGGGCAATCCATTAAACAGTGGTTTAGGGTTTCAGGAATATCAAGGTTGCATACCTTACACCAGGATTCCTGTTCGGATCTGTTATCTTGTTTGTGTCTGATGGCCAACCATTTGTTTACTGGGACTGCTCTAAAGGCTATTAGCCATCTTAGGCCTGCTAGCTTAACCGGTCTTGTGGATAGGACTGTGGGCCAGGGGAGTTTAAAGTGGGTGTTGGCTAATTGTGGTTCCTCCTTCGTCCACCTGTTGCGTATTGTGTTGGATATTGAAATGGGTTTGGTGAAAAGATGGTAGCCTAGTTTAGGTGTGTAGTCAGTTAGTTTGTACAAGTTGGAGATGAGGGTAGAACCAGCGGGGGAGCTCCATGTCCATTCTGTGGGATCGACCTCTAGATCGCAGACGTTAATGTGGGGTTTATAGACTTTTTTTCTTTCCCCTCCTAAGATCTTGATTCTTCGCAGGTTGCTGTGTCTGAATGCTCCTTCTGCTCTGCTGTTTGTAGTGATATAGCTTACCGGGTTTCCTGGTTCTTCTAGGGTGTGTATGTCGCAGCAAATCCATTCTTTGTTGTGGGGTTCATAGTTCTTGAATTCGAGGACTTCCTGGATTATGAGGAGTCATTGTTGATGGCCCAGTCTCCAATTTGCCATTCTTGTTTTGATTTTAGTAGGGCTCGCCAGTGGAGGGGGATGCAGTCTATGATGTCAGTTAAGTTAGTTTGTAGGTGGTGAACTCCTTTAAGTTGTTCTCGTAGGTCTCTTTCTGTTTTCCAGGTTTTGTTTGGTTCGTCCCAAATGTGTTTGATTTGCCATATTCCCTTTTCTAGCCAGTGCCCCCATTTGGGTTCTGATTTTGAGAGTGTGAGGCTTTCTCTTTTGTCATTCCTAATCAGTGGGTTACCGAATAGGGGTTTGTCTAAGGACTTCGTCTTTTCTCTTTGGACCCATTTTGTTCTCTGGGAAGATGATTCTCCAGATGTGTAGAATTTGCTCCCAGAGTGATTTAGTCTGGGGGGATTCGTTAACGTTCCTCTGGTGTGTTTGATCGGGCCGTCTCTGTTTCCCTTTCGGTAGTGGCCAGAATTTGTTGAAAATCCAGAAGAGGCCTATCATATTGGGTGGGGAGGTGAAGGGAGCGAGTTCTCTGATGTGATTGAGAACTAGTGGAGTCCAGTGTAGATTGTCTTGTAGGGCTAGGCTTATGACCCATTTGATTTGTAAAGCCTGTATTTGGCGGGTAGGGTCTATAAGGCCTAAGCCCCCTTTGTTTTTTGGGCTGGTGACTTATCTGCCAGGCCACCTTGTGGATAAAGTGTTCCTTGTCCGGATTACTTGTCCAAAGGAATGCTGCGGCTTTTTTCCTTAACTGGTTTTGGAAGTCTGAGGCTGGGAACCATATGGAGGTGGAGTACCACATCATTGCTAGGATCGAATTGTTGAGCGCTAGTACCCTACCTAGAAGGGAGGTGTGTGTGGCTTTCTAGGTGTGCATTCTATTAACCATTGAGGACAAGAGTGTCGCTGCTGAAATCTGGTGGCATCCTTTGAGGTTGAGATTAATGCCCAGGAATCGGATTGGTGAATCTGGATCTGTCCACTGTAGACCTGGAGGGGAGAGTTCTGTGGGAGGAGGTGTGTCTGCGGTCCACCAGCCTGTTGTCTTGGTCCAGTTGACTTTCATTTCTGAGGCTAGTTGAAATGCTTGCATTAGTCTTATCAGGGCTTGGAAGGAAGAATCTGTTCCTCTGATTAGTACTGTAAGGTCGTCTGCGAATAAGAGGGTGGTGGGGATGTGAAGGTGTTGACAGCGTTCGTCTGTGATGTTTTCTATTCTCTCAATTGATCTATCTTTTCTTAGGAAGGTGGCGATGGCCTCCATGACGAAAAGGAAGATCGGTGCTGCTAATGGGTCTCCTTGTCTTACTGACCTTGTCATTGGGTAGGGGTTCGAGAGGAAGCCATTGACTTGAACTATCGCTTGTGCGTCATTGTAGAGTATTCTCACCCATTTCTGGAAGATAGGTCCTACTCCCATTCTTTTCATGCTGGCCTGGAAAAAGTCCCAATTCACTTGGTCGTATGCTTTCTCAAAATCAAAGAAGAGAATGGCTGCTGCAATTCGTTTATGGTTGATTATCCTCGTGGATTCGTAAAGGGACATTACATTGTCCAGGATGAGTCTTCCAGGTATGAACCCTGTTTGATCTCGGTGGAAGCATCTTCCTGTGATTTTGTTTATTCTAGTGGCTAGGAGTTTGGCTAGGATTTTGTAGGATACATTTAATAATGAGATGGGTCTGTAGTTTTCTATGTCCTCTTTGTTACCCTTTTTATATAGTAGTGTCACCACCCCCGTACTCAGTTCTGGGCCTAGTGTTTCCTCCTCCCATGCTCTGTTGAGGAAGCTGAGGAGGAGTGGGCCTAGTGTGTGCCATCCAGCCATCCAGAATTCCTTAGAGAGGTCGTCTCTTCCTGGGGCATTGTTGGGTTTGAGTTCGATAAGGGCTTTATGTAATTCTTCTAATGATATGGGTTCTTCTAGTGTTTTTGCTATTTCTGGTGATATGGATTGGTCTAGGTGGGTCAAGAACTTCTCTCTTGCTTTGTTTGTTGAGTAGTTGCCTCCTATGGGTATCTTGGAGGTATAGAGGTCTTTGTAGAATGTGGTTGCTATGTTTACTAGTTTTGTTGTTTCAGTGGTTGGGTTGCCATTTTCGTCCTGTAGGCATTCTATTTTGGAATTCCTGGAGTTTGCTTTGATCTTCTGGAAGAAAAATTTGGACATTTTTTCATTCAGTTCCCAATCTTTCACCCTAGCTCTTAATTGAAGGCCGTTGAGCTTTAGTTTAATCCATTCGGTCAACTCTTCTTTAGAGTTTAAGAGTAGTTCTGCGTAGAATTCTGAGTTTGGGTTTTTCTGTAAGTTTATTTCTGCTATGTCTATCACGTTTCTCATTGACTCCTCTCTTTCTTTTCTATGGGTTCTTTTCTTGCAACATACTGTCATGCAAGCCCAGGGTGTTGTAGAGGTGCAATTCTTCCCTTATTCGGAATATGGGGAAAAGCACGTAAGGGTTGAGAAATGGGATCAAAGCAAGGACTTCCACACATGGAAAGCTTACCAAACAGCAGCTGCCGCTTTGTAAGCAAGCCTGCATGAGCTTTTTTTGTGCTCACTAAAGTGTCACAGAGTGTATCTGGAATAGGAGTGCTCTTGTCCTGCACACATACAAGCAACAACAGGAGGCCAACATTAAAGGTAAACCAATCGGCTCAGTCAGTGCAAAATAAGTAATCACAACGAGTTCTATAACCTTCCTTTAAGTTCCTTCGGACTTTTTGCCCAATTGCCACGATTGGAGGTTCGTAGTGCCCCACATTTCTTTATGAGCTTCCATTGGGCTGCCATATGCTCCTTTCATTCTCAGTACACTACCGTCTTCACCCAAATAGAACGCCCGACCATTATTGCTGTATTTGGCACAACTTTCAGCCAGATACGGCGATAATTACCGGGCGTTCTATTATGGTGAAGACGGTAGGCCGAACAGTCTTCTGACCAAAGCAAGCAGGTCGCAACTAAGCATGAGGAAAGGCATCTTCCTTGCTTGCACCCCAGGTGGCTCATGCAACATCCACAAGAGGCAAAACACATCCTTTGAGCTGTGACGAGAAGATGCCCGGCGATGTCATCCGAGGTACTAGGAGTTTTCGAAATCTTGCCATGATGCTGGTCGGCAGGTGCACATAGCGAGTGAGTGCGGCATTGGAGCTTTCCTACATGCAACGTCCACAAGCGGTAAAATACATACTTCAGAGCGCGGGGAGAGGATCCCCTATGTTGACATCTGTGATATTTGGAGTTTGTGAAATCTCCCCATGCTTGCTGGCCGGCATAGCGAGTGAGGAGTTAAACCTTTTCTACCACTCTTTCTTTCTTGCTAGAGATTGTGTGAGGAGGAGAGTCAAGTGAAGGAGCAGATTGTAGGCAGTTGAAAAGGGTCTCATTAGACACTCCTTAAGGATGTCTCGTCGAAATCCTTGAGAAAAAAATGGAAAACGGTTCAAGGATGCGTCCAGATTTTCAAGGAGGGGACAGCCATTTTGTCCAGATTTTCAAGGAGGACACAGCCATTTTGTCCAGATTTTCAGAAAACCTCATTTTCTACAGATCCTCAAAGAACCTCGCGAGGATCTTCGAAATTCAAGGACTGATCTCTTCAGACTGGAGAGGGCATCCTCCGAATTTGATTCATGGTGGCGCCCAATTGGGCCAAAAGCCTGAAGCACAACTTTTTTGTTTTTGGTAAATGATATAACTTCTCAAGGATTGTTCTTGAAACGATTTTTCTTTTTTTTTTCTTTCGTCTTTTAAAAAACTACACTATGTTCTTCTCTCGAATTATTTTTGCCTTTCACTACCTTCCTACCACTACTCCTAAGACTATATAGAGGGGACCCCTGCAAGCATAGGGAATTGCAAACGAGGTAAATCATGTTGCCCCCCGCCCCAACAGCGGTAGTCAGAGATGGGGTGGGGCCGCCGGTGGGGGTCCGGCTAACGCAAAGAGCGAGCATTTTATCAGTAGCTGTGCCTCCCTTTCTCATTGGTCCCCACCCCTGATCGAGTAGCTGCAGAGGTTATGGCCAATATTCTCCCACACACCACACACAACCCACTCGCGCTCGGACTCACACCCGTGTTGGTCATAGACCTCGCTAATACTCGCACTCGCACTCACAGTCCGTTGGCACTAAGTGCGCTGCAGGTGGTCATGGGGATTGAACCCACAACCTCCTGAATGCCACTTGCATGCCTAAACAACTGAGCTAGGTCGCTGGATTGAGCTAGGACACATGAAACGATGAAGCAGAAAATCCTTGAAAATCACAAATTCTTCCAAAAACTCGTCCTCGAAACTCACGAATCGCTGTGTCTAACGAGACCCTAATGTCAGCGTCACCCAGCACCTCTCTGTAAGAACCGGGTCAAAGTGGTGGTTTGGCCAGAGGCTGAACAACCTAGTCTTCGCATCTACAAGCGGGGTTGAGCCCGCGGCAATGTGCGGCTGTGTGCATCCGGTACCAACTTCTCTATCTTCTTCTTTTTTCCCCCAGGCCTTACGGGTTCCGGCTCCTTTCCATTCTGGGAGGCGTCAGTCTGGTTCCTCGGCAAGTCAGAAAAGATTACAACAGCCACTCATGATGCGCCTCCTCATCACGCTTGAGAGGCCCGAGTGGATGTCATTAATTACTTCCCGCGGGAAGGATGTATCACCCCTCACCCCTGCCTAAGTTAGCCTATCTGACATACATTGACCCATGGTTGCTATTCTGACGTTCACTATATCTTGCATGGCTGTTGTGAATAGTCGATGAGAGCCCAATTTAGCCTGACCCCTCAGCTCGTTGGACGTTGGCCCTATGCCTGACTCGCCCAGGAGTTCCTGACATGCATCCGCCAAAGCCCTCCGCTAACATCCCTGCCCCTGCCCTATGGTCTCAGGGCGCCTCGGGGAGCCCCGCGCTGCTCCATGACCTGGCACTTGGCCCGCCTACTCGTGGTGTGTTATGGCACGCAGTGAAACCACTGCGTATCCCTTGCCACCAGTCCTGCAGGAGGGGTTACCCCAAGCGGGTGAATGTGTGACGCATGAGACGACTCCTGCTGTGAGCGGACTTCATCCATGAGGTCTTGGTCTGCCACTTGCCGTGCCCGGTGATCAGTTCAGTCTGAGCGTGCCCGCTGTGATGGTTCCTAATTTGCCCTTTCCCAACACTTGTTGGTTGAAGTTTTCAGTGATTTCCTGTCTCTTGATAGGATTGCTTTCAATCTGTTGCCTGGCCTTTGCCCAGTCGGAATGATACTCATCCTGCAGCATTTGGGTAAGGCCGAACCATGCTTCTTCTGAGGTTGCAGATTGTGCATCTATCGTTCCCTTGCACCTCCACTTCCAGATTGCCCAAAGGGCGAAAGGGCGAAGCCTTCGGTACAGTGTCAGTTCACAGGTTTCGGGGTCACCGGTTCCAGTAGGCCGGTCAACAGTATCTGCTGAGCCCGATGAAAGATTGCACCAACACGCGGCCAACCGAAACATCGCAAGAGATAGGGTGGGGCACATGACGTTTTGGCTGACCGCTCGAATAGCTGGCAAGTAAAGCAGAGAGGGGGAGAACAAACTGCGGCCAGCCGAAACGTCGTGGGCCGCCATTTTGTCATGGGTGATGTCTTGGCCGGCGCGAACAGAAGGCATATAAAGCATAGCCTGCCATTTGTTTTCTTGTGAAAGCATGCTACCCAGGCCATACTTGAGTTGGAACGCATGCCCTGCTACAATACAAGTACACAGTGTGAATGAGCAGCGCATGGAAGTGTGCACAGGGGAGAGTTGTACAAGTACCCCAATGTGTACCACCCAACCCACATCATATCACCGAGGCCGCATAATACCACCCAGCCTGCTTAATAACCCCTAGCCATGCCTAGGGCCGAGTTGTACTTAATGCTGCCCATGTGAATAAGTTTTTTGGAGGCGTGTGTGTTAGTACCATTCAATCCACATAATATGACTTTCCCCAAATCCTACCAACCAGTTCATATGGTACCGCCCGACTTACATAGCCACTCATTGAAACAGCACAGAAAAACAGGAACAAAAATTTAAAACAATAGCACTGTAGCACAGAAAAAAACAGACAAAACTCTTTAATGAGTAGCATAGTTAAAAAAAAAAACACTCCGACAGAGCAGATGCATCCTAAGGACATGTTTCTTCACACTCGGGGGACAAGGGACAACAAGACATTGAAACAGCACACCGAACAGAGTGGAAACAAAACCACCAGCATGCTGACTAACCTTGTAATAGCCACTCATAAGCTTCAGAGACGGCTTTTCCCAGCACCTACATCATGGAAGGAAAGACACCGATGGAAGGAACCACGCGATGAGAATACCAATATTCCAGATTGCAATATCTCACAGAGGACAAAACAATGGCAAACATGATCGAGCCAAGTTGAAAGCAGAAAACCAAAGCGGAATGCATGACAATTAGGAGCAAACCATGGTTGCACCCCTGCCGACCGCCGACCGCCGACCCCAACCGCAGACCCCCACCGCCGACCCCGACCGCCGACCGTATTGCAGCCGACCAGTGCCGACCGCTCAGAAAACAACCATACCACTATTTTTTTTTCAGATCTGAGTTGGAAGCTGTACTGTGCTTGCTGAGTACAGCCCAAATCCGCTGATAAATTTTTGGGGATGGGGGGGTTGGGGGAGGGTTGCATAGGGGGATATAGGGGGCATAGGGGTGGTATAGGGGGTACTTGGGGGGGATATGAGGGTGTTGGGGGGCGGTTTGTGGGTGTTGGGGGGGTGTATGGGGGTATTTGGGGTTGGTATGGGGGTGTTCGTGGGGTTATTAGGGGTTCTGGACCCCCCCCCTTATTTTTTTTATTTTTTATTTTTTTGCGGGGTGCCGACGACCCCCGACCAGTAGGTGCTGACCAGCCGACCAGTCGAGGGTCGCCGACGGTCGGGGTGTGCAACACTGGAGCAAACTGAAAACTGACGTATCTTGATAAAGAAAGTCCAGGACTTCTGCCTCCAATCATCAATGGAAAACTAATGTAGTAGCCCTGCTTGCGGAAAACAATGTGTGCTCTTGCGCCTCATGTCACCATGAGGATTGGACCATATCATCACAATTGGTAGTTTCCGTGCGTCTGGCGTATGGCCTCCGAGGATCGATAGGGATGCTTCGTCTAGCGAGCCTGCTGATTGACTCTATCCACTCGAGTGGCCTTACTGCCGTATTTCTCGGTAGTGTATGTAAGAATTGCGAGTGTTCCAGCATATAGCCAGATTTTGTAACTGCCCTAAAGTTGACAGTTAGAGTTCCTACCGCCGTTTACTGGGACTTCCATTATTCGCCTCTTGCATCTGAACTCTGGCGAGCCCAAATCCAGCCAAAGCTGGCGTCAAGACAGTTACTCATTGACTGAAGTCAATGAATCTAAGTTAATTGATTCAAACAATCACATAAAGAGTGAGTTGGGATTCAATTCGAAATGAAAGCTATGCACCATGATTTTTGATAACTTTTGCTTCTAGTTACCAAGAAAGGGCGTAATTGCAAAGTATAAGAAAAAAAAAACTGATGCAATTTGTCCAATAGTTACACACGGTGCTTCCACAGGTTGACATCCAATCCAGCCTAAAAGTCAACAATCTGCCACAAGTAACCAAAAAAGCTTGATGAATAGATACAAATAGGAATAACCAAACCACATCAACAAAATGCCAATACCAAGTGGCAGCTTCAAACCCGAAATGGTGTCTTCTATCACTCTTCACTCCCATCAAATGGTAAAAGGAGCTTCTACATATTCCATTCCTTGAAATGCAGTAAATACTAAAGCTAGAAGAATAGTGGCTAATATGCCATAAAGGGCTTGCTCCACCATAGGTTGACCCATCCCAGTCCTCTAGTACTAGGGATGACTTCTATCAGTTCTCTTCAAATCACCAACGGTAGATAGGAACCGAACTGTCTCACGACGTTCTAATTGTTATGTTGGCCACTAGCCCGCTCGAGCCTGTCGTTGCTCAGTATACATACACGAGTAGTATCTCTACATAGCACGGACACTACCTTCAACTTGTTTCAAGGCGACTATACTAACCCCCTGAAGTTGTTTCACGTATAGTCTCCGAGGATCCTACACAGACATATGTTAGTTTCCTGCGGATTATGCCCATTACATTTCAGTAAGGTGAACTCGTACATGTATTGAATTTGACACACAAAACAAAGGGCCGAAGGCCAGAGCACGCTCCTGCATATAGTGAAATTTTATTTACGCCTATACCTTTGACAAATTTAAAAGAACTTTATCCTAGTCCGATTCAGGCTCGAAGAAAATAAAAGAAAAGAAAGAGTGAGTGCGATACGTAATCGCCCCTCAGACCAAGATGATGGCAATTACTGTTACGGACTCCGCCAGGGCTCGACCCCCGGTCTATTTTGTTGCCGTTTTTGCTACATTCCGTTTTTGGCCTGGCACCCTTTTTCCAAACCCCTCCTTTGGTACCGTCGGATTTTGGACAACTGGCGTCATGCTACAATTTGGGCGCCACTTTCAAATACCACATTTTTTGGCTCTGCCCTCGGAGATTTTGCAGAGATGCCCCTGGTACCGTACGTGTCACCGACACTTATACCGGTTCCCCGTACAGTACGAAGACCAGTCTCGTACCAGTTTCAGCTGCTGTACTCGTACTCAGTGTGACTTGCTGCTGTTTTCGGCATTCGGAATCCAAGACTTCGACTTTGTGCCCTTGCCACTGTGTCTGCGTCCGACCCTTGGTCATGTCGAGTGAGTGAGTGTGTGTGTGTGCTCTCACTCTCTCCCTCTCTCTTCCCTCTCCCTTGGCTCTCCCTGTCTCCCTCAGCCTCGCGCTCGTTACAATTACAGTTGCTCACTGATCCATTGTCTACTTACTTTCACAAGCTCTCTCTGGCGAGTGGCCTCTACCATCAAATCTATTTCCTACTACCTCTACTCATGCTAGCCTCTACCAATTCTGTCTTGTCCATGTGTCACTCACCGACTTCTGCTTGAAGACTCTGCTCATACAGGCTTCCTCCGCCAGTACCTGCTAAAAACCAGCAGTCAGTACTGCCTTCCTTCTTCCCTGACCTCCACACTGCACTATCCAGCTTCCCTGCGCCCAGCTATGGCTGCCGCTCACTACAGCGACCACAGCTACTCTCCTTCTTCGGTGCTCCCTTCTGCTCACTGCACAACAGAGTTCACACCTTGCAGCAACTTGCACGGGGTGTTCTGCGTGGCGGCCTCAAAACTTTTGTCCAGGACTGGAGGCTGCATCCAGATCCAGCAGGTAGTGCCTGTGGTCTACTGGGACAGTGTCCAGGTCCCAGCCTCTGTAACTAACTCGCAGGCTGGGCCTATCGGTTGGCTGGCTGATGTTGCTGGAGACATTGACAACACATGGGAGGGGGCTGAAATGTTGGGAGGAAAGCAGGCTGATGTTTGCAGCAATTTAAGCAGAGCAAGTCAAGGACACAACGGCATACTGGACAAGTAATGAGAGGGGCGGGGGGGGGTGAGTACAAGGAATGGGTCAGTTTTTTGCGGCTGAGGCTGGCAGCAACCATCCCTTCACAGAGTTTAAAGCAGAGACTATGCCATGTGCATGCTAACCGGACTGTAGCTGTGTGGGGACAGAATGGCATGGCACAGCCATCATCCTCTGGAGGGAGCCCTTCACTATCTGTGGTAGAATTCATCCGATCTACACAGGATAGGGGGGACGCTCCTTGGCCTTGTACAGGGGACGGGGAAGGTTCAGCCTGATTGCCTTCTCGAGACTGTAGAGCTTACGAGTGTACATACTCTTCCTGATTGACCAGCCAGATCACATGAGATTCTACCGTTCGGTGATAGAAAGAGTTAATATTTCCCACCATGTGCACCCTGCCCCCATTGTCCCATAGGGTGCATGAATTATCCGCAAAGGTAAGAGCACTGAAATGACCTGGACGATGCAAATGTACACACAAATATTTGGGTCCATGTCTGGCATATAATTTTGTGGGGCAGGCTGGAATTGTAGTCGTCTACACATAAATGCCATAGATTGGAATTCTATGTTCATGCCAGTTGCAGGACTTTCATCCTCTGGGCAGACATCATGTTGCTCTACTGCCATCCAGCGGACAATGTCTGCAAAATCAGAAGCAGTACAGGAGAAATCATTTGGGCAGATACAGTGGCTTTGCTATAGTAGTATGAAATCAATTGATTCTGCAGGTTGATCGGCCGAGGGTTCATTGCGGTCATGACTCTTTCTGTCAGGTTCCTCTGGCCCTATAACTGTATCGACTGTAGCATGCATTCAGGAAAGAGATCATCTCTGGTCGGGGCTGCATCAAGTGACCAGAACGTGGATCATAGCCAGTCGAGCGGGGAAGGAACCAGGGGTAAGTGGATGAGAAGTGGGTGCGTGAGTGCAGGAAGCAGAAGCTGATCAGCTGTACTTGTGCTCAGGGTGGCTGCTAGTCGTGCAAACACTGCACAGGTGGCTGCATATCGTCTCTGGTGCACATGCAGGCCTGCAGCACTGAAGAAAACATCGCCACATTGTGGGCATTGGACTCGGTATGCACCACTCCTGGCCAGTTTCTTGGAGGCCGACCTGCCACGTAAACGGGAGCTGACTCGTCGCAGTCAGCCTCCGGGTCATATCAAGGCCACAAGTGAGGTACCAGCAGGTCGCGACTGAGGGAGTCAATAGGGAAGACAGAATGGTCTTGTGGCAGTCCAAAGGTCAGATCACAACCTTTGGACCAAACCGTCACGACTGCAACGGTCAGATTAGTAGGGATCGGCCCAAACGATCCAAGGAGCGGACCTTGGATTGGTGATGAAAGGCAGGTTGACCGCTTCGGACTGGAGCCGCACAACTGAAGGAATGAGAGGTTAGACCCTTATTGAAATTTAGAGGGATCCTGTGCTAAGAACCGACTGTTTGTATTCCGGGATTGGGCCTATCCCAGTCCCATGCTATTTTTAGCAAGGGCCAGGACTATTTTTAGATCCTGGACTATTTTAGCACAGGACCGACTGTTCGTATTACGAAATCGGGCCTGTCCCAGTGTCCCAGTCCAGTGCTACTTTTAGTGTGGGCCTGGTCTATTTTTCGATCCCGCACTTTTTTTTGCGCAGGATTGACTGTTCAGATTCCACAAACAGGGCTTGTTCCAAAGCCGTTCTCAAATTAACGCAGTCCCGCACTATTTTTAGAGTGGGACTGGTACCAGCCTTGGGGGCATGGGACTGACGAACTGGCCGATTGCCTAGCCTCTCCGCCATA